ACGTACATGCAGCGAGGGTTGAGGCGCTGCTCTCTGACGACAAAGAGTCGTTTACTGCGGAGGCCCTCCTGGACGGGCACACCGCTGCAGTTCATTCTGTGGGCTTTAGGGGACCGTCGAACACTTCAAGGTTGCTCACTTCTTCTATGGATTGCAGAATAGCGCTTCGGAGCTTAGAAGGCGGGCGTTGGGAATGGGTAGCACGTTTTGGACGTCTAGGTGGAAGCTCTGCTCATGCTTTAGGATTCTTCGGAGCGTCCTTTGTCAATGCGAAGTGCGATAAGTTCCTTGGACATAATTTTGCTTGTGCTTGCACTGCTGCCCGGCAAAGTCACTTAAGGCTACTATCGTCGAGTTCCTTGCAAAGTCAGCACTCGGTGGGCACTTTGGTATGGTTACGGATCTAGCTTGGGAACCACAATGAAGGTATCTCCTCACCTGGAGCGAAGATAAGACGCCACGGATTTTCGCAGATGTGGAAGAGGACGGATGCCATCGTTTCGTTGAATGGGCGAGACCGCAAGTTCATGAACATGCCTTGTTTGCCGTGCAATGCTGCGATGAGGAGGGTAGAAAATACGTGTCGGTGCCGAAGAACGCATGTTGAGATATTTAAAGCCCCAAGTGGCTTCCGCCTACCGGGAGGAACTGATGTCAATGTATATGGTCGGAGGGGGCTACACCAGCTGTAGTAGCGGGGCTAGGCTTGTCGAACAAAGCCATTTACGAGGCTGAAAAAGAGGACTCAGCGAAAGAAGGAGATGATGAGAGGAGTAAATCGACAAAATGCAGACGGTGGGGACCTGCTTGTCACTTCGTTTGGAGCGACGCGGGCAAAATCAATCGTGCTTGTACAAGAAGACTTCAAGCAGAAGGGTGCGATCTGTGCAAGGAGGTCAGGCTTGGGGAATGTAAATGCGGCACGCTTATTAGTGGAATTGCTGCGGCAAGGCGAGAATAAGGGAGTTTATAGAATTAGGGAATGTTCCAATGCCAATAACTGTAAAGCTCTTAGGTTCAGGGGGAAGAAAAGTATGTCTAACAGCCTGAGCGGTGCCTGAGTCCCGCCGGCGGAGTATGAATGACGAAAAGGGTCAATTCAGCATCACAATCTGACATATGTGCAAGCTCTAGGTAACGCTTTAGAGTGAGACTGACCAGGTCGGAGGGTATTCGAAGATACAGTAACCCACCATCTAACCTTTACATTGCTTACCGTTACACAACATTCTTAACTTAATCTTCACAACTTTTCAAAAAATTGACTTGTGATCTGCCTGCGTAAACTGACTGCGAGAACTGAGGGCCATTCCATTCATCGTGATTGGAAATCACGCAATCACGCAATCACGTCAATAAATGGAGCCTGCTCCCTTGTGGTTGGTTGTTTATATTACGTTTCCTAAAAAATGGTCATGCTCATTAAAGAAATAAACAATCGACTTAAAATTAATCTTGTGCTCCAACTTCCTGTAATGCACCTTGCAATTCTAAAAGATTTAAACCCCATTCAAATGCCAAACGTGAAATGGAATGAAGCAAGAGGTGCGTTAATGGTGTTAACGCACTTCTTGCTTCATTGGGCGACTCCGAAAAACATAAAAAGACATTTTGTGTATGCGCAAATCCGCCGATTTTGATTGAGTCGGAGGTGTTTATGCATACACAAACCGCCGATTTGCTCTTCGTTCCCGTCCCGATGTAATTGTTTGTGCACAGACACAAACGCACATCCGCACCCACCTATACCACCCTATATCATACCATGTGCTCAAATATTTCTCTGCGATCTGTCCGATCAACCCATCCCACCCCTCGGCAACCGCATTCCTATTTCGATCTGGCCTCCCTCCACACATTCCCTCCGTCGTATCAGCCGCTGTCCAACCCCGCAGCCCAACGTCTACATGGCTCATGTTGCCGACTCCGACGAGGAGCCGGCACCCGATATTTGTCCCCAAGCCGGCGGCTCCTTCGTCCCAGCAACAACCCCTCCTACCGTGCGCCGAGGCCGTAATGTTTACGGCTACGGCCATGCATCTCCGTCAACACGTGAGACAGACGATGAAATTATCCAGCCGGTCTCTCTACCCGCGCGCAGTCCACCGTTTTCTTCTTGTCAAGATCCCCCCTTCACCCGCTTGCTACTCGCTGGAGGCTTCTCGGCGCCGTTTGAGCGTTCTTCGAGGTGTTCAGAAACGTACTCATGCCGCAAGAAAAAGGGGATCAAATGGTGCTGGGCGTGGGGCTTCATTCACAGAACAAGAACTGGAAAGCTTTTTAAACATTCTAGAGGAACACTTGCCAGTGCGAGGGGATGAGTGGGATGCAGTCAGCCGCATTCACAAGAGACGATACCCAGACAAGAATCGGACTACGGACTCGCTGCGCCGCAAGTTTGCGATTCTTTACAGGAAAAAAGCCCCAACAGGAGACCCGAGAATCCCTGCTTCAGTACTGCGGGGAAAGAAGCTGAGGCAAGATATGACGTCAAGGGTAGATTTAGGAGATGGAGACTGCAGTGATTTGGATGGAAATGGATCTGCGGAAGATATGAGGTTAGAAGAAAATAACCAACCAAACAGTCCAAGAGATGCTGACGAAGGTGATGATGCTGAAGGCGGTATTTCTGTAAGGTCTTCGTCACCATCTACAATATCAGCTGCCTTTCCAATTGGGCATGAACGATCACGCCACGGTAGTCACACCCAAGATGACGATTTGGTGGCAATTATGCAAGCTTCCCTTATAGAGGAACGCGAATTTCGGATTACTGAGCGGGAAAGGGCAGAACGGGAGCGGCAGGAGGCTCGAGAGAGGCGGGACGAAGAAGCAAGAAGTAGAGCCTATGAACGGGAGAAGGAACGAAAAAGGAGACTAGACGAACGAGATGAAGCTGAAAAACAGAGGGAGGAGTCCAGAAAAAATCGCGATGCGATTATGCAAGCCTCTATGATGTACCTGGCAAAATCGCAACCATCAGGAGACCCGTAAGATATCCACCTTGCTGAGTCGGCACATTGTAATGTGGCTGACGACCACCTCTTGCGACATCCATTCCAGCTCCTTGATCATCGTACGCACCATTTGCACCACTTGCTCATCCCTCGCCCCATTACCCACCTTCGCCCCCACTTCGCGGCAACCTCCTCTCAAAACCCATGCTGTGACCACATCAAGCAGCATCTCCCCCATTCCAAGTCATGTGGCAAGTATTGCTTCATCTGTAATGCTTGCCACTTGACAAAATCGCAGCAACCAGGAGACCCGTAAAATATCCGCCTTGCTGAATGAATACAGTGTCACGTGGCTAAGAGCCACCTCGTGGGACGATCGCTCCAGCACCTCGGTCATGGCACGCAACTTTTGCGCAACTTGCTCATCCCCCGCCCCATTGCCCACCTTCGCCCCCACTTCCCCGCAACCTCCCCCCAAAACCCATACTGTGACCACATCAAGCAACATCACCCCCCCTCCAGGTCATGTGGCAAGCATTGCTCCATTTGCAATGCTTGCCACATGAATTGGGAGCCCTCTACATGTGGACGGCCGAGCGCCGCCTCCAAACCTCCTTTGCCAACAACATTCTCGCTGCTAACATGCCGCTAACATGTCCCAACTTACAAGCAACTCTCCGCCCCTTCCCACGCAACCGAAACATCGCGGAGAGTCCTCGAACACGCACCACCGTCCTCCATCTCAGCCCGCGGCGCCCATCTTGCGCTCGCCCCTTGTCGACCTCTGTCCAACCTCCCCAGCACCGCACGTTTCAATCCGTTCTCCGCTCGCAACATGTCAGTAGCGGACGCGGCGAGCGTCCGAACAGTCGCCGTGCAGCTGCGCTCGCTGTCCGCCGACACGGACAACCAGCCGATCATCGCGCGCGAGGAGGGCTGCATGCGCGCCCTGGCGGGCTTCGTCGCGGGCAACGACGTAGAGGTCGCGGCGATAGCCGTCGCCACCCTGAAGAACCTCGCGTCGCACGTGGACAACTTCGACGTGCTCCGCTCGGAGGACGCCCTCGTCGACGCGCTCAGGGACCTGCTCGTGGCGGAGGAGGCCGCTGGCGACCTGCGCCAGGACATTTTTGACATCCTTGAGGAGCTCACGGATGAGAATGACGATGATGAGATGGATGAGCTCGATGAGCTCGAGAAGGCCGCTGGTTTGAAAGAGAAGGACCCCGCTTTTGAGGATGAGCCCGGCTTGTTGAAGGAGCTGCTTACGGCGAGGCTCCATGTGCCGGGCACTTCCGATGACGTTACTTGTATGCGCGTTGAAAAATTGATCATTCGGAAACGCGGCGTTATTTTGGTGGCTTTTGAAATCGGCGCGGAGGTCGCCGTTGTGTACACTAGGAACCCGCCAGAGGAACTGGCGTCCTTTATCGGGACTATGACCGGGACCGCGGTCGATCTCTTGCCAGAGCTCCAGTCAGACGACGAGGAGGACGAGTCGGAAGCGAAGTCGGATAAGGATACCGATATCGACAACGCGGAAAAGGAAAATGGCGGCGGACAACCAGAGTATCTCGACAAGAGTGGACAGACCTTCCGCGCCGTGGCAAAGAATAATGCCAAAAAGAAAAACACCATCTCGCAGGGAGCCAGCTCGCTTACTGAGAGACTTCGTGCCCAGAGGGAAGAAGAGTCGCGGAAGAAGGCTAGAGGTAATAGACTTATGGGCAGCATTGGTCGTGGCATCAATTCCGGATGGGGATTTTGGTGATTCAGCTTCCGCGATCATCACAATCATTGAGTTTACCAGGGCAGTAATCAAATAACTTAATCAGGAAGCAGAAGCTGTCGCCATAAGGTTGACAGGAAGTTAATCTTGTCGCCACGGAAATCATCCGCGGAAAGGCGAAACACATAACTTTACATGGACGTACACCTATCCAGCGGACAACACTCGCTTTGAGCGAAGAGTGGCTCGCAGCACCTATAATCAAGTCGAAGTACAAACTAGATACGCCCTCAGAGCATACCAAGATAATGCCATCAGGATCCCTCACTTTCGTCCATTTCTACGTCCGGATTTTCCTCATCGACACCGTTATCGTGAGTCGTCCATTGTTTAAGGGCTGCGTCCAGTGCTGCAAGCACCAAATCACACTTGCCGGTAAGTACAGACAGTGCTTCTGTGACAAGAGTAGGTGCAGGCATGGCCCCAGTGCTTTCCACAGAAAAGATAAAAAGGTCACGCTTTCGTGTGAGTTCAACTCTTTCCTCCCATTCGGGTTCTCTAATGCACTCGCGGCAGACAGTACAATCCCGTGGTCGTGCCACAACCGCAACGTCGTCTTCAATATCAAACACCTTCGCCGGACATAGGTTCACAAGTCTTTTCGCAGTTGCACCAACAACGCGAGTTTTCAAATTCACTTCCGGAAGCATCCTGTAACCAGCTGTCGCAACAGGGGACCACTTCGCGTGTTCCGTGCCGATGTTTTTCGTGGCATCCATTTCAACATGGATTTCCTGTCCAGGCCGTAATTTACATAGCAGAATATCCTCGTGAACAGGCCTTGGTACTTCATTGCCGATGAACTTACTTTGTTCATGACCTCCGAACGGGACATGTTCAATTGAACCGCTTAACACGCTGGAATTTTTGTACAAGACGCTAGGGGGGGCCTCACCATCTCTCGGCGCAGACGGGTTAAACTCACACTTTGTCCGCAAGCTTAACTTCACAGTATTCGCCACTGTCACCGGTAGACCCTTTTCCCAATACCCAAAAGGCTGCGGGTCGATCTTCAGCGGCACGAGTCCAAGGCGATGCGCCAATTGTTCGTCGTTTTCTTAAACGCTTGATAGAGTTTGGTCTGTCTTCCTGTTTTTACTGTGTATATATATTCACATCACACAGCGACTTGCCTTTAACAGGCAGGTGAGAAGGTGAGATACCTGGAGATGCTCAGAACACAATGAGAATGCAAAAAGAAACCTGGAAATTAAAATGGAAGCACCGGTTGCTATCAACATCCCAAGGTTTGGCATTATCCTTTGCTGCAAAAATCGAGTGGTGTCGCGGGGGATGGCCCTGACATGTCCATTTCTCTGCTCTCGCTCAAACCCTTCACGCGGCGACCTCCCTTTCCACCCCTCTGACCGAGAGCAATATCGGCGCCACCCTCTTCGTCCTCGTCACGCTCACGCTGTCGATCCCGACCGCTACCCTCCCAGCTTTGTCCCCCGCCCTTGCCCACGTCTTCGTCATATACGGCCCCACGCGCCCCGCCGCGAGCTTCCGCCCGCTCCCGATGCTGGGCGAGCCGTCCTGACAGCTCACCTCTCCCCGCACACACCGCCCCGCGCACGTCACCCCGCCCCTGTACAAGGGCCTGTGGGTCCTTGTGCGCACGCCCCCGCATACTTCCCACATCAAACCCCCGCTCCCTGTCTCTGGCCCGCTGCATGTCTACCGCCAAGTGACCACCGCTACCGCGCTCACTTGGCCCGTCACTCCCCCGTGCAGGCCACCATCAAACGCGCCGCCACCTCTCTGCCAAGCCAGTCGCGCTGCTCGCGTGCCACTCAGTGCTCGCGAAATGTGTAGAGGCGAGTGATGGCCTCTCATACGTTTCGAAACAGCAAATGGTTCACATCGACGCCCAGATATGGCATGTAGGTATTGAGTATCTGATTGATGCCAACCAACCGGGTTCTCAAATTGAAGAGCAGCAAAATGGCGAGATGGAGTATGATCTTCCCCTCGCCTCGCTCCTCATAGCAAAACGATCTTTCAATCTCGGAAAAGAGCCTTGAAAGGCTCTCATTCTCCACTCCGATGCTTGCCTGACGGATGTCGCTTGCTGCGCCTTCTGATGAACATTTCGGTCACTGCTCATTGGCATATCTTGCGCAGATTTGATAAGAAAAGGGTAGTCTCCCTTACTAAACGCAGAATCTACAACGCACGTCGCACCATGATTTTCAAATATTTTCTCAAGTTTCCGATATACATTGCCCCATTCGGCAATTACCGAGTCATGGAGACACCCAGGAGCATTGTACGCTGCCGCGATCACTACGCCGGTGTAGTGCAATACCCGTCTCGGGTAGGGGGATGAAAGGAAGTGAAAAAGGAAAAAAAATTGGATACTGTAGTCCGGGTTTGGGGGACACTCGTGTGCGGCGGAGCGCACGATTATTTTAATTATTATTTAATTTATCTACTAATTAGATCTAGAATCTAGAGCCGGGAGCCACTGTACTCGCCCCGGCGGGGCTCTATATAACTTAGCCCTTTGACCGAACAAGTCAATAAACCAACCCGAGTTGCCGGAGTTGAATGTCGCCTTGGTCGAAGTCCGTCTCTACCAAGACGCTCCCTTTTACCTAAGCCTACGGCATACTCTATCGCTCGGGGGTCCCATTCCCTTTTCCTTTATTTTCCTATCATTTTCTACTTCTACCTCTATTTTTCCCTTAATTGTGTTGGTTCCACTGGAGTTGGTTGCGACCGATCCGGTGTAGGTGTTTTTAGCCATCGGGCAACACGTTGGTAGTAGCGCTGCTACTGTTTCAAGTTTCGTCGGAAGGCTGTTGCAACGACGCCTCCGTCGAAGGTCTTACTGTATAAGACAGAGTTGGTACCGCCTACCGCGATTGCGATCGCGCTGGTGAGGGTGTTTTTAGTCATCGGGCAACACGTCGGTAGTAGCGTTGCTACACGGTTACGATCCCGTCGGGTAGTGCTGAAAAAGCCCCCGTCGAAGACCTTGGATTATACTCGAGGTGCTGAAGACGCTCGTCGAGCATTGGCCTTACAACCCAGCGAACCGCGGTCTTACTCTCGTAGACAAGCCCAACCCGCACTCACCGAGCGCTCAAGTCTTCACAAGTCTCTACCACCATTTTCCTCCCGGGCCGGGCATCTTTTCTTACCCCCCCGTCGGAGTTGAGCTACCGTGGGCCGCAAGCCCACACAAGGGGAAAGGGAGTCTCGAACGCTCCGTAGCGCGTGCCATCGGCAGTGGTTGTTGCTGTTGTTGTTTTTCTTCTTTTTGTTTGACCGTCGGACTGTGTTCCCGGCCTGCCAGGAACATTGCACGACAGCCGGAAGGCACAAAAACAAGTACGTTTCCGACGTAGTGATCATGTTGCCACCCATTGTAAAACATGTTCTGAATTACACCGTTCCCGCTCTCCTGTAGATAAAGCTTCAGTCCATCCGCCATGGCATACACATCTTGAAGAAGAGAGTACTTTGCGGAAATGGCTTATTTGTAATGCCTAATCTCTTGCGCTGTGGGCATTTTAATGCGAGCTTTATGATCAGAGTTGAGGACGCGCCTCAACAAGCGGCGACCGAATCGTAAAAATATGGAGCAAACAGAAGCAGTTATGCCTAATAGCATTGACAAGACCATACTAGAACCCCTTGTCCTGTACCAGCAAAGTGTCAGAGCTAAGCAGTGGACAGCCGATAGCGACCGAGGTCTTCCCCTTCGCGTGCGCCGTCGCGGGATGACGCGAATAAATCCGTCAGAGCTGTACGGTGTGAAGCGGAGATAAAGGGGTTCAAACAGGGGGAGGAGGTAGCCAAAAGAAGCGTGATCGAACCCGCAAAATGTGATAAGGGATTGGTCACATTCTGAACCGAACAAAACGGCAAAATGGAGATGTAGAGGGGTGTTGCAATGCACTCCTTGTTATCCGCCTTTCTCGTCGTCTTCGCCCTTCCGTGTTGAGGCGGTGACGAAAAGTGATGGTGCGTTGCCTTTTTGCGCGTTGCAACAGCAAAACAAGGAGGAGATTTCTCATTTGGGTATCATAGGATAGGGCGTGAAGGGGGTACCGCAATCCGTCCGCCGGCGTGCTGACACCTCACTGAGGGTGAATTGGCATTAAATGTGTCTTACACAAATTTTTGTTCACATGCATTTCCGTGCCAAGGCACAAAATACGACACACATACACAAGGAAATTTGTGTGTACACAATTTATGTTTTTCGGAGTCGCCCATTCCATGGCTTTGCATGTGCATGTGTTAACTTAACACATGCACATGCAAAGCCGTGGAAATGTGCTTACAGATACAAGTAGGACATGTTGGAGAAAGGAACGATGCAGAACGACTTTAAATTAATGTCGTGATCGCGTGATTGCGTGATTGCATGAGTGCCAATCACGATGAATGGAATGGCCCTGAGACGGTGAGAACTGTGTCAGATCGCACAAACCCTGACACTACTCGTCGTCAAGTCAGATCGCACATTACAGATGACATTACAGTGCCGAACAACATATACTGTACAGTATATAGACGTAGATACGACGACGAGGGAATAAACGGACTCATGGGTTTCACGTCCTAACAAACTGATTGTGTGAACTGAGTGGCAACAACTGACTGCGGCAACCGACTGCTGTGGCTGGGCCAGCACGTGTGTGGGGCGTGCTCCCTGTAAAGGTCTGGACAGTCCGTAAAGGGCGGTACGGTCTGAAAAAGGGCGTTGCGGACTGTAAAGGGGCGGGTGTGCAAAGGGATGAGTGGTTGGCGCTACTGAAAGCACAGGGCGTTCCCTTACTGGATGAGAAGGCGGATCGGAAAGGCGGATCGGAAAGGCGGTTCGGAAAGGGCGTGCGCGTCAATACGATTTGTACTGTTACTGTAGTACAGGATGGTTGTCATTGAGGATAAAGGCGCCTTGTCGCGACATGCTGGCGCATTGTGCAAAAAGTTGCCGTGGACAGGGACGGGCACGGGGGGCTCTCTCGCGACGCCATGACATACCCTACCCTAGAGGGTACAATTGTACTGGTTAGGCCAGCTGAACCGATTTTAGTGCCTCTGCCAGATGCACCCGCGTGCTCTTTCATCACTTTTGCTCCGTCTCAGCGCTTGGCCCTACTCTGTCTTCTTCCATGCGCCCTGCCCTGCCCTGCTACTGGGAGCAGCGGAAAACGCGGTTCAAAAGCAGACTTTTTAATAATGCGCGAAAACAGGTTCACCGTTTTCAATAGAAAGTTGCACTATGTCGGCTATTGAAAAAAGCATTGCGCGTGAAGTTGAAGCGAGTGGCGGAAACAACCCCCTAGAATCTTGAACTGTTTCAAACGCTTATTAGTAGACTCATTACGAGCGCGGATGTAGGTAAACGAGAGGGAACCTTCATAAAACATATGACGACTACAACGCTCATCGGGATATCCCTGGCCTGCAATAACTTTTCTCATTCCCTTGCAACAAATTCTTCAGACAAAGGCGAAAAATTCTCAGATCGCTAAAACTTCCGCACGGGAACGGACCATGTGCCCATACAATATTTCCACCGGCGACACTAACGCGACCTCATAGCGAACCCCGGCGCCCCTGAACTTGTGCGAGTACCACTTGGGGCTGAAGAGGCTTGGTTCGTTGATCATGCAGTCCATACCACATTCATTTTATAGACGCAATTCTCTCTCCCAGATAGACGATCCACAAAGTTCAACTAAGCCAAAGTCAGTATCTCATCTGTTAATAAAAGACATGCTGGGCAAAAGGCTTACCATATTCATTTGTGAAAGAAGCTCCACAAACTGCCAACACCATAGACGAAAGGGTTTTTCGTCCACACCAGCAACTGCGGCGTTCATGTGCTCATGACTATAATTCTTAAAAAACATGAGAGCCCACAACATGGGCTTCGGATTTGCACCAGCAACAACCTTCACACGAATAAAACTCCATGCTTGCGATACAACGTTGGGACTAGCACCAAGAAAACTGCGAAATCGGCGATGTACCATCTGCGTCGATACATCCGAAAGAGGAAGGTTCATTTCGCTGGCAAAGCTGAAAATTGCAAGAGGAGAGTAGTTTGGAAATAACATTATGCTTGCGCGGAAGGATGAAAGGCAAGCGATGTGTTAGGGATCATCAAATTTGGCAAAAGCACCGTATGTAAAAAAATAGCAATGCCCCAAATAATTACAAATAATCGCAAACATTCGCATTTGTACTATCGAACACGTACTGAAATGTTAATAACTACTCATTGCGTCATCACTTAGCCTTACAGTGCATGACGAATTATGTATGTCAGTGATGTGGTGACTATGAAAATATGACGTTTGTGTATGACTTGTCATATTTAAATTGATTGTTCGGCCGGCGAACGTACCGTGCTTTCACCAATTTTGCGAATATTAGCAATGTTCAAGCGGCAATTTTTACGTGGCCGCTGCTTGTTTCTCCTCCACTGTACTCTAGTTTAAAGTTACTATCCACATGGCTGCGAACTTTGCTTCCACGTTCTGTAATACTTGTGGTCATACGAAGTAGAAACAATGTTCGTCTCGAAAACACTGCGCCAAAAGTCATGGCCAAATTTTATCAAATATTCGCGAACAAATAAAACGTTGTATGCTTTAAGAAATGTGAGATCCCACTCCCCACTCCCGCATCATTTGTGTTCTCTTCTATTTCGCTGCCAACTCACAATGGATGAGAAAAAACTAACAAAGACCTCAGAGGCTGTACGACATTTGCGCAGCCTCCTGGAGTCCAAAAAAGTACGTGGAGAGAGGATCCCAAGGCCATGTATGGGATATCGAGTTTATTTCAGAAGCACAAATTGAGCAATTTTCGTACTTGCTATAACCGTTTGAGAAAGGAATTTGCATGTTCGAGCTCTCCTGGTACGTTATCATAATTGCGGTTTTACACCGCCCTCGCCTTTTTCTAACGAAAATGTGCTACAGTTGGTACTGTTGTCGACGATGAGGGCCTAGATAGGTGTTGTTCGGCCAATAGCGCAGAGTTTAACAGCCGTAAAAGGGCATTTAGTGCCGTTGATTTAGATTCAGAAGAAGACTCTTCAGAGAGTGTGGCATCTTCATTTTATTCGGAACCGAAAGTTTTGAAGCCGGAATATTCGCTTGCGTCATGAATAGAATCGAAACGTCTACAGAAACGTCTCACATTGGCCATTGTTGTGCCTACTGGCACAGAAGCTGGGATGTTTAGTTGTCGGGTTGATCCGAGCAACCGGAAAGTGTTCGAAATGTCAGTGATTTGGCCCCAGCCACTTGTGAACGTTGAACTAATGCATCGGAAATGGCTCATGTCTACAGGCCCTGACCGTATTCAGGCCTATCACCCCAAGATTTTAGCATTCCAAGCGGCCTTGAAAGAGTTAAGGCGGAAATGCGGGGATGACGTCGTATCCACTGCTAAGATAAGATAAGTCTTCCGTTTCCCGTTGAGACGCATGTTTACGAAAAGTTTAATTTGGCCTGGAGGGATAATTCTACAAAGTTGGTTTAGGTGGAATTGAAGGCTGCGATGGACTCATATGGTCATCTTAATGACCAACAGGACTTCAAAGTTGTTTGAGTACTCTTTCTGGTAAATTCGGGGTTTCCCGCTGCTCCCTGTACACGTCTCTGTGCATTCCCCTCTGTATTCCCCTCTGTATTCAGTGAATACTATTCACGCCTGCTCTGTCCTCTTACAGTATATGCGCCCTGCCCTGCCATGCTACACGTCTTTACGCATTCCCCACTGTATTCCGCTCTATACACCTCAATACAAATTGCATCAAACCTCAACTGCCACCGACATCGATTTATTGTAAACAGTAGTGTGCGGTACATAGTGGGCGACTCCGAAAAACATAAAAACACATTTTGTGTATGCGCAAATCCGCCGATTTTGATTGAGTCGGAGGTGTTTGTGCATACACAAACCGCCGATTTGCTCTTCGTTCCCCTCCCGATGTAATTGTTTGTGCACAGACACAAACGCACATCCGCACCCACCTATACCACCCTATATCATACCATGTGCTCAAATATTTCTCTGCGATCTGTCCGATCAACCCATCCCATCCCTCGGCAACCGCATTCCTATTTCGATCTGGCCTCCCTCCACACTTTCCCTCCGTCGTATCAGCCGCTGTCCAACCCCGCAGCCCAACGTCTATATGGCTCATGTTGCCGACTCCGACGAGGAGCCGGCACCCGATATTTGTCCCCAAGCCGGCGGCTCCTTCGTCAGTATCAGAGGATAGGGCGTGAAGGGGGTACCGCAATCCGTCCGCCGGCGTGCTGACACCTCACTGAGGGTGAATTGGCATTAAATGTGTCTTACACAAATTTTTGTTCACATGCATTTCCGAGCCAAGGCACAAAATACGACACACATACACAAGGAAATTTGTGTGTACACAATTTATGTTTTTCGGAGTCGCCCAGTATCTACCGCATACTATGTATGTACTACATACTACCCTTGGTATATACTGTACTGTACAGCATTGCTCAGCACTCCGTCAATCACGGATCACTCATTTCCCCACCCCCCATCACCTCCTTGCCACCCGTTCTACTGTTCTACAACTTCTCCCACACTCCCCACCTTCCACAACGCCACCTGTATGATGTATCCACATCCGCCTCCATCCCTTTTCACTCACTCTCCTTTTCCCCACCGCTGCCCTTCTGTCCCCCACTGCCCTTCTTTCCACTACCGCCCGGAAAGTCCCCACCGCCCTCACCCGCCTTTTCCGCCTCGGCCTCTGCACCGTCCCCGCCCCGCCTCGCATACTCCGCCCATGACCCGACCGCATACCCCAGTCTCCCGAGCGCGAACCGCACCGTGCCCAACACCTCCTCCACGTCCACCGTCACCCCGACGCTCTTCACCGTCGTGCACGGATCCAGCAACTGCCCGGTCTTCTTCCCGCACTCCTTGTCGTAGTATTCCTCGCTCTTGTCTGCCTCGTCGTCACGCCCGCATGTCAACAACAACAACCCGTTAGACACTCATATCGCTGGCTCTAAAAATTCACTGCTCCAAATTATAAAGCAACTCCACTTACTCGCGTGCATCAGGCTCTGCACCTCGTAGTACCAGATCTTGCACGAGTCCGCCAGCAGGCTGAACGCGTAGTCCGTGTATCCCACCGGCATGATCTCGATCAACGCGCTGCGCACAAAATCAAACAATCAAACGGAAACAAAACAAAACAAAACAAAACAAAACAAAGCAACAAACTCGTCAGTCACTCTGCCTGCACTTGCCGCACCCATCACCACCACCGCCGCAACCCACTTTCCGCAACCCCAACGCCTTACCTATGTCTGGGCATCCATATCTGCCCCATGCTCTGGCTCCCATGCGGCGTTATAAGCACCCCGGCCCTTGCGAAAACCCTCACAAACTCCTCGGCTGTCCTCAACTTGTCCGTCCCCACCACCTCCACCTCCACCCCGTCCGGCTCATACCTCTCCCTGAGCGCGCTCTCCAGCTCCCCAATGTTCTCGATCGGTCTCGTCACGTGCCTCTGCAGCAGCACAATCCGCTTGGGCGGCTGCGGGAACCGCATCTGCCCGACCCGCACCACAACGGGCTCCTTCACCCCGTACAGCGCGTACGCCTCCTGCCGCAGGTGCCGGCACACCCGCTCGTGCCCCCCGTTCCCGATCTTCGCCCCGGCCGTGAACCGCCGCGTGCACACCAGGTCCGTCGCCTCGTCCTCGCGCATCTCCTTGTGGAACACCAGCCGCTCCTCCTCGCGCAGCTCCGGGAACGCCTCCAGCAGCGGCGCCGCCGCCCGCGCCTCCGTCGACCCCGCGTGCAGCTCCGCCTGCGTCAGGTTCGGGTACAGACGCCCCACGTCCAGCTGCAGGATCAGCGCGTACGTCAGCCGATTCACGTCGCGTGACGTCTGCGTCACAAAGTCCGCCTCGCCCTGCGGCAGGTACACGTGCCGCGCCCCCTCGGAGAAGAGGTGTGCCGGCCCGCGCAACTCTTCGCCGCGCCCCTCGCCCGCTGGCTCGTCCGGCCGCGGCCGCACGTCCACGCTCTGCTGCCACAGCGCCACGTCCAGCAGCCACAGGATGTCCTTGACGAGGTGGTTGTTGTGGTTGTTGTTCACGTAGTCCAGGTCGACCAACCAGAGCGAGTCGAACCACTTGATGCGCGCGCGGCCCACGTCGGCCGCGCCACCGCCGCCGCGCCGGCGCAGGAGGCCGTCCAGCGTGCGAAACTCCGCGCTTAGGCAGCTGCGCTGCGGCGCGAACGTGTCCTGCATGATGGGCCAGTGGCGCGACGAGAAGTAGCGCGGGTCGGCCGACTGGGCGCGGAGGCCGCACCAGTTGTCCGTGCGCACGGGCTCGCCGTCCGGGCGCGAGTCGTCAACAAAGTAGATGGTCGGGCGGCCGAACTCCTTCTCCGTGGTGGCGTTGACGCACACCAGGCCTTCGTACACGCAGCTCTGCGCGCCGGCGTCGTACTCGCGGCAGCCGACGCGCGTGGTGGAGACGTTGCCCGAGGGCGAGTGCGAACGGAGGTGGGCGATCCACGTGGAGGCGGACTTGGCCGCCTCGGCGCGCGCGAGCGACCAGGACACAGTGGTGGTGGTGGCGTTGGACGGCGGGGTGACGGGCGCGAACTGCAGAAGCGAGCGCGGCAGCGTTACCACGGTGGCGGAGAGATGGGCACCGATGGCGGCGACGATGACGATCGCCAGCCATGCTCGCCGCGAGGTGGTGAAGAAGGGCGAGGACGCCTTCTTGGCGTCCGGGCTGGAGGAGGTGGGGAGGACGGGGCGCGACATGATCTAAGGGTGTGAATATGGGCAAGGGGACGGCGGGCGGAGGTGATACGACGGCGAAAGGGAAAGGCAGGGAGACCTCGGCATGTCGTGCGACGTGTTAAAGCACTGGCCTTGTATAATGTGGTTTAGGCTGTCTCGATGCGAGGGTGTCGATGAGGTATTGAGAGTGATGAAGGGGGGGGGTTACGTGTGTGTGCCGTAGTGGATGGCGGATGCCGCATTGAGGCATGTCTCGTTGGATGACGGGTGTTTTAGTGTTGTTTTTGTGTCGCCTTTGAGGATCGTACACCTCAGGCGATAAGGCACTCATTGGCGAGTCGGATATGGAGAGGGACAAACATGTGCAGTTTGAAGGTAATGTATTGCTTACAACAAGACGTACAAGGGTAGTACGCGTACAACAAATATTCATGTACTGTATTGCTCATCGAAAAGAGCGCCCACTCCACTCGCCTCAGAACAACTGCACTTGGAGGCACAAGCAATGTGCACGCCACATTTTCAGAACCCGTCTCGGCATACAGTACACTCCTTGGAAAAGATAGGCCAACCGTGTATCTTCACGGCTATGAAAACGACCAGATCCTCAGATCCTGAATACTGCTGTAGAACCCCTCGAGTCTGGTTCGACTGCACCGGTATAGAAGCGTTGCTTGCCCAACAACCCTACCACAATAAAGAATAAAAAACTCTTCTCAGATGGCCCCATACAGTGCTGCTTGAAAAATATGAAACAATGACTTTGATTATTTTCATTATTGCACCATCAGCTCCCCCTCTATTTCTAACCAAAATCTACATTTAATTGAAAGAAGTAGTTCCAGTGCTCCAAATGAGCTCAAACTTTGACAGAGGGTTGAACCCCGCTGGAGGAGACACATGCCTAAGATTCGGATACTGTGTCAATGGTGGGTAACAAGTTGTTACTAACAACAGAGCTAAGACCCTACCCACCATGGGTCTTAGCTCTGTTGTAAATAAAGATAATACGTATGATAAAAAACTTTTCTTACAACCAGGGAGAACTCGTCAATGATGAACGCCCTCATTCATCACGGCACAAGCCACGTCATGGAGCCACAGTACTGTATCCTATCCCGAATTTCCAACCACGGCGCATCAAAATATCGTATTTGTTTTTGTTTTTTCATGGTTACCCGGAATGCACGCTGTCGCGCAAAAGACCTCTTTCGCGCTGGGTTTCGCGCTCGGGATATCTGCTGTTGCATCTCACGCCCCACCCCTCCCGGGCTGTGAAAATACTGAGGAAAATACTAAGAAATTAAGAGAAAAAAAAGCACCGACGGACGGTACCCTTCGAAGGGTACCTCCTTTATCACCCTTGTCTTCAGTTTTAGCAGAACTATTCCCAAAGCACTAAACTGAGGCAAGCACACTCGAATTTTCTTTCTGGTTTCGTGCTCCTGGGAGCAGCTGTTGCGCCATGCCTGGCCCGAGCGGCGCAACCTATGTGGGGGCCGTGGTGCAGCTGGTCCCAGCTGCACCACGGCCAACGCTGTAGTTAGTACCAAGAGAGCCGCTGGCAGCTCTCTTGGTACTAACTACACCGTACGAACGATGCCGAGGCACCATGCGCACCATCAAGGGTACAGTACTTCACTGTACACGACCATGGTCCCGTGGTGTACAGTAGCGTGCATGGTGCCCCGAAGTCGTCGTGACTGGTGTATTCCGTCCGTCCCTCGGGCATACAGTACAAGTAATGTCGTTGTGCGATGCCGCGATTTCATTAAATCATGTTTTTGCGCGCAATTGCGCGCAAAAACTGCCAGATAATGCTGCAAAATGAAAAAATCACCACTTCGGCCTTCTTCAGGCGACCCACCGATAATCGCGATCAACCATCCAAATCGAGATCCCCCATGCCTTCCTAGGGTCCCTGTAGCCCATCTCCATCATGGAGATGTAACGTGTAAGCCGTGGCTACCATTGTCCAAAGTCGTTTCTCCATGAAGAATCATGAAGTTTCTCAGTTTCTGCATGAATAAACAAGCAAAAAGCAAAAATGAAAAAACAACCCGAAATCGCGGGTGCGATGGCGACATACAGCTGTGCACGAGAAATGCTAGAAACGTGACACTGCGGACATCCGGAAGGCGTGTTCCCGTACGTGGTGCTACTACAGTAGCACCTAGTAGGCCTGGGCCTACACATGAAGAATGTCATGACAAGTGACATGACGTGCGTTTGACGGCTGGCGGGGGCTTTTACTCGGCGGCCTGTGAGGGCTTGGGGAGAATAGTGCAGCAGCGGGCTGCAGTGTTTAGTTTTTTATCTTTTTTCAAGCAGTATGGGGCGATCCCGGATGAGTTTTTATTTTTTATTTCTTGTTGTGGTAGAGTTGTTGGGCGGGCAACGCTTCTCTTTGTTCTATGCCGATGCAGTCGCCCCAGACTCAGGATCTCGTCGTTTCCATGGCCGTGAAGATGCGGTTGGCCCAACTTTTCCAGTAGTGTATCTCGAGACGCGTTCTGAAAATGTGGCGTGCACATTGCTTGTGCCTTCCAAGCGGAGTTGTTTTGAGATCTTTTCGACGGAGCGCGGCCAAAAGGCAAGGGCCAAGGGGGGACCAGTCGTAGGGCTTGCCTTCCAAGTGCAGTTGTTATGAGGCGTGCGGGATGGGCGCGTACTACGTGTTGTTGCACGCAATACAATGTATTGCGTACAACAACACGTAGTACGTAATGTCGCAATGTCATTACATTCACACTGCACGGTGTTTTTTCGTCTCCGTACAAGTACGGTACCCGACGCCCCAATGGGTGCCTTATCTCCTGAGGTGTACAGTACGATCTTCAAAGGCGACACAAAGACACCCGTCATCCAAGGCGCCATCTCCCCCCCCCCCCTTCATCGCTTGACCGCCTTCGACACTACCGCTGTAATGTACAGGGGGGGGACGGGCAATAGTGCCGCTTTCATTATTGCCACCCTCGAATTAGTGCCGCCAAAACCGGCAGACACAGGTTCTGCCACGTGTCATGCACGACGTCGTCATCGGCCACTCCTCATGCGCCTCAGCTCATCTCAATTGGTGACGTGATGGCACCTCACTCAAAGACCCTAACATGACTCCTGAAAAGATCGCCAAAGCGAAGCGTACGCGCCTTACCATTGCACAGAAAATACGGGTAGTGATTCTGCTTTCTGATAGTGCCGCTCCGAATTAGTGCCGTATTTCCTGAATGCACCCAATATTGCAACTTGCAATATTATTGCCGACGGACAGTTGTTTTTGCAACGCCCTGCATGAGATCAAATGTGACCGCATACAGTGTGAGGCATTGTCACGTACAGTACTGTACCGTCCATTGCGCCAATCGCTATCCGCGCCCGCCCTGCACGCACCTATTGTACCCCCCCCCCCCGCTGCCTCTCTCCCATCTATCTACAATACATGTATCTCTGCTGACGAAATGCGAACGGAGGCCTCCGCACTCCCCTCTGCCCGCCCGCCCGTCCTGCCGCCATGGTGCCGCTCGCCAAGCCCTACTCCCGGCCATTGTTGTCGCGCTCAGCCTCCGCGCCGGTGGGCGTGTTGTCGTCGCTCGTGGCCGTCATCGCCTTTGTCTGCGGCGCGCTGCTCACCACGGTGCTGCACCCTGCCCTTGCGCCGGCGTCCCCCCTCCTCTGCGCGAACGGCCCCGACGCCCCGCCACGCGCCCCGCAACCGCCGCCCGCGCTGCGCTGGTACACGGCCGCGTACGAGAACCCGTGGCGGTTCTCCGTCTCGCGCACGGGGATGGACGAGCTGCAGGCGGCGCACCGGCGCGTGCTCGCGCGCGACGGGCGCATGCCGCGCGTCGTCGTCAGCTTCACGTCGCTGCCGGGGCGGTTTGCAAAGTATGCGCGCCCCATGGTGGAGCTGCTCAAGCAGCAGACGTACGTGCCGGACCGCATCTACGTGGCGATCCCGCGCGTGGCGCGGCGGTCCAACGCGACGTTCCGCGTGCCGAGCTGGCTCGCGCGCGACCCGCTCGTGACGGTGCTGCGGCCGCGCGTGGACTACGGGCCGGCGACAAAGCTGATCCCCGCGCTGATGGAGGAGAAGCGGCTGGGGAATGAGGCGGCGCGCATCGTGACGGTCGACGACGACAACGAGGGCGCGTGGACCGCGCGGTCGCTGCTGGACTTTGTGGCGTACTCGCTGGCGTACGAGGACGCGGCGATCGGGCAGACGGGGTGGAACGCGACGTGCATGGTGGCGGAGGCGCGGTGCGGGCCGGAGGACTCCGGTGTACCTTTGCGGCAGCATCGCGGGCGTTGGTACAACTTCATCAAGCAGTCGGACGACTACGCGTGCCACTCGCTGGTGGACTGGAAGGAGGACTACTTTGCAAACTGCCTGGGGGCCGTGCGCAAGAACTACATCGCGTACGCGGACGTGCTGGAGGGGTACCGCGGGGCGCTGTACCAGCCGCGGTTCTTCGACGTGGACAAGGTGCGCGCGCTGGTGGACGAGAAGAAGACGCCGGGGCTTTTCATGCTGTGCGACGACGTGTGGTTCTCCGGGTGGCTGAGCGTGGGCGGGGTGAAGCGGATCGTGATCAACTCGGCGATCGACGAGGACTCGGAGTTCGCCGCGGAGCTGGCGGGGGCGCGCAGGGAGCGCGGGGTGCCGGACAGCCTCGAGCTGCTGCCGGAGAGCAAGGCGGATCGCGAGATGGCGGAGAGGGCCGAGAAAGGCGGGGGCGAGGTGGAGCAGGGGCTGCACTCAATGGGACTCGATTTTGTGTCGGCGAATCATGAGGGCGTCAAGTGGTTTGCGGAGAGGGGCGGGTGGGTGCAGGGGATGTGGGACAGACCGGCGGGGTTTGTGTACCCTTCGGAGCGGGAAGAGGGGAAGCGGTAGGAGAGATGGGGCTGGGGATGTAGGCCCGGATGTAGGTACCCTTCCCTGGGAGGGTAATTTGGAGTGCGAGGGTGATTTGGAGTATTGATTTACGCTAAAAAAAAGCGGGAGACATTGGGCGCCTCCGGAAATTATTTTTTGTGTCAGAGTCATATTTTTCTTTTTTGTGAACAAAAAATGAGTTTTACCACGGAAATGCTTGCGCACATAATGTGCGTCCCCCTACTGTACGCATGCTTTGAACTCGTTCCTAACGACGAGCACGGTGTGTCAGGGTCGCTCCTAACGACGAGCACGGCACCGGACGCCGGCGATGACGCCGTCGGAGCTCTATCTACAGTGTGTGCTGTGAGCTAAGCTCAATCATGATGGTGTTTTCACCGAGCAGCCACCGTCAGAACCATGAATGACCAAATGGCTATTCTATTGCTACTTCTCATTCAGAGCCATGCTCGGTAGATGTAGATGTCGAGTCTCGTCGGTCGGGCGGCGGCCGACGCTTTCTCCTGTACAGTAAATTTGGATTGTACGCGCGCACATTTTGACATTTGTGCGATACACATTTAACCTAGCATGGGGTCGCCCGTCCGAGAAAACGGCGCGTTGTGTGTGCACAACGCGCCGTTTGCGTGTCACAAAATCCCGATTTGGTCAACACAATTTGCGATTTTAGAATTTCAGGAGTCGCCCATTCTTATAACTGTACTCGCAACCATGTCCAATTTCCAATTCAGTGTCCAAAAATTGGCTGAGCAGTGGCGAAAACCGTACTCCAAATTACCCCGCATCGTAGAAAATCGGACCGGCTGAGAGTGGAGCGGAATCTTCGAGCTAAATTCTTTTCCGTTGTTTTCAGCCACGTTTTGGTGCATGGACGTGCTTTCCGACACCATCAGGCAGCGATTGGTTACTCATAATCGCGTGAGGTCCATGTGAAGCACTTTTTTCATTTATATTGTTTGAAATTCACTCCAAACTACCCTCGCGGGGCCTCGCGGGGAAGGGTATCTAGTAGGAGGTGGGCGGCGGGCGGCGGGCGGCGGGCGACGGGCGACGGGCGTGTGTCGTGGGAGCAAGGAGGTGATGGTGCATTTCGACGCGTTGCCTTGTCGATCGTGCGATCCGGGCGGGATAGACGCGATGGATGGATGGATGCGCGCATATTTAGCAGGTTACAGGAGCATTGCAGAACTGACTGTGGTGGTGTGGACTTTGTGGCGCGTGCCCGCGCACCATTAGCGCAGGCCCCTTCTAGAGGTAATGGTTGTACACTATTAAATGTGTGCGCAACTCAAATGGTGGATGCCTTCCGCCAGGGGCCGGAATAGAGGTGTGACGCGCAAAATTATTGTGCACTAATGAAAAGATGGATTTGAATAATCCATCTTTTCAGACGACGCGATGCAGTGCAACAAGCATCTGTCCGTCTTTTGATCGCGAGGAAGTGCGTGACATACTGTATGACAATCTGTACTGTACTGTTGTGATACGTGTAAAGAGTACACGTACGAAAGGGCACAGATACTAAAGCACAAACTGAGTGCAGACGAAGCCATGATTACAGGAGTATAGAACGGCTAGCCTCAAAAAGCTCTCGTCTGACACAATCGTATTCGCAGCCCACACGCGCCCGCACAACCTCAACGCTTCGCCGCACGCTGTGTTATCTAGAGATGCATACTTCACATGCACCAAGTGCGCCTCGTACATCCGCCGGTGCATGTGCGCCATCGCCGCCGCCTTCATCCACTACATAGATTCGATGTTTACACGGCTCGGCGGGTGTGAGGGGATGTTGACGGGGACCTACCAATTCGTAGACGGGTTGTACAGTGCCAAGGGTACGGTATGTTTAGAACTCTATTGTACAAATTCACTGATTCCTTTTATGGCCAGGTTGAGACCGGAGATGACGTTGAGCAAGAGATCAAATGGCTGACTTTACATAAAGAAGCTTCGGAAGCCTCGAAAGTATGTGTCGTATTGCAATTGTGTTGCGGTAAGCGGAACAAGATGGAAGCTACACTTGAAGGTGCGGTAGAAGAATAGAAGATGTGTTGTGGAACGTGAAAAAGGTCCCGGAAGGGACCACAAAAAATCTCTGTAATGTGGTGACGACACAGCCGCACTTTGATTGGCTGTACTGCCCGCCCAACATGCAATGATTGACCACAATTCCCCTAGCCGCCCCCCCCTCCAATCGCGCATCACAGTTGCCATTGTTCAATGGCCACGACAAGCCACCCCCCAACCGTCAACCGCGCACTCCCTCGGACCATCCCCCTTCCCCGCTGGCAATCGTCTCCGTTACAACGTTCCCATCTCACATCACTCCGCCCTGCACCCTCCGCCCACATCCTCTGCTCCGCAATACGCTCATACGCTTGACCGTGAAGGCCTGCGGGAGAGTTTTTCTTTAGAAAGGGGCCTTCTCTGGTGTGACGATGCCCGACATTTCATCGAACGTCTTGCGCACCGCGCGCTTCGCGAGTGGTGTGTTTGAATTCTCAGAGAGAGCTGCGTCGCACTCCATTGCTACTTGCCTCTTTGTTCTGTATACGCTAGAAGGCATGCTCGACACTGATTGTCGTCAATCGCATGTATGTAGACTAAAGAGGGAAGCAAGCTTGCTATTGATTCGCGTCAATCGTTTGCCATGTATGTGCATTCGAGGCTTCTGTTCGAAATAGTGCGTGCCTCATTGCGTTTCTTTGCTCTCTAATCCCGATGAACGAAGGCCTGGCATATTGATACTTCTCCTGCACCTTCACCTTTCTGTGCCCGGGCAGGAGCAAACACACTTACAGTATTTATCCTTGTGTGCACGTGCAAGGACATTCTTGGATCCTCACTAATACTCTGATCAATCAAAGTGGGCCTTGTCCAGTTGTACAGCAGCTGCACTCGCGGCTACGAGATGCGGGTTGCGGTTGTAAGTGGCGGGAGACGTGGGGGGAAGTGCTGCGGTGCACACTTCTGTCAGTCATGAACGGGAGAGGTCCCCGGGTGCGGGTTGCTGTTTGGTGGGAGACGGAAGGAGACGTCCCTTCTTACGCGCCAAGCAACATCGCATGGACGTCAGTGACAGCGACGACGCGGTTTGCACCCCTTGGCGCCGCCGTACTCCGGCAATGGCTCCCAATCGAAGCATGCTCGGCTGCATACAGCTCAAGCGCCGCCTCCTCCAATGCGCTCACCCGTCTTCCTCGGCACGGCAAACCCTTGCCCCGGCATCAGCGCAGCCCCCAAATATATTTCGGAACTCCTTCCAGACGAGGTGAGCATACCATCACATCTGAAAGTGGTTGCACAATGAAATTTTTAGGCTGGAGCCATTCGCTTGTTTTACCCTGATGGCGAAGGACATTTTGTGATGGTATAGTTTTCTTTATTGTGGTTTTGATGTATTGTATGATGCACCTGACGAACGTCAGAGGCGTAAAACCCAAAACAGAAACTAGTTTTACAGTATTACTCTGTGAGACAACATATCGTCTGCATGCATGTCGACGCCGGGCAAACGACGGTAGATGGGAGCTGCTCGTACTGTTGTCTCAGAGAGATATTTTACGCCTCTGACGTTCGGGCGAAGCTGTAGAAGATCCACTGCTACCGGAAGAGTCATCAGTGCTGCGCTCGAGCTCTGCCGGAACCTCTATTCCTCTTTTCTTCATCAAGGCAATAAGTTGCATATTCTTGTTCTTTACCTCTTTCTCTTCATTCCTGGCATCATCCCTTTCGCGCTTTGAATCTCTCTCTTCATTCCCGGCATTATCCCTCTCGAGCTGGAATTTGCGCACAGCTGATAAAATTATCTCGGTTGGAGTGTGCTTCGGCTTTAACAAGTTTTCCGCAGTGAGGGCGAGCTCCTCTAACACATTAGCGCGAACAACTGTAGCACCATAAAACTTTTGAGTTTCGGAGTACTGGGGATAGTCCGACGGCGGAAGGGATTTGGAAAGGCGTGCAGATCTTCGCCTGGAAGAGCCAGCAGAATCGCTCCCTGGACAATCGAGCGAGTGAACAGTGACGCAGCGATTTTTGCGATCCACAATGACGCACTGCGGTACTTTCATCTTGGCATACTCAACTGCTTTTGAGCAGATATCGTTGAGCGGGTTCGATGGACTCGTAACTTCTATTATAAGATGTGGTATCTTACCCGGCGGAAAGCGCATTTTGCGGGAACGTGGTGAGAGGTTCCCGCGATCCGTTGCGGACTGATACGGTCCAATGGCGATATCAGCGATGACGTCCGAGTGTTTCTCAGCCGGGCTGTCATCGATATCAAGAAGGCCCTTCGGGACAACTCTGGCGACATCAGCGTTGAAGTAGGCCGACTGCCATTTGTGCTTGGGTAGATTCAGGTTACCTGCTTCGACGCTGGTTGTGATGAAGGCCCGAATGTCATCACGTTCTGGGTCGGGTATGCGTGGTTGGTGGTACAAGACGCCGTCAATGAGATGGTAGCGATCCTGAGGCGTATTAGGGAGCTCCAAAAATCGTCGAGGGTGCTTGGGCAGAGATGAAGACTGCCGGGTCCGGAATGCGGCGTTGCGGTTGGCAAAGCGGATGGCAAAGATGGCGGTGATGCCAGCGACGATAAAGAGAGGGAGGCCGGGGATGTGGGCAGCATTGCCAATGTCAGGTGAGCAAGGAGGTAAAACGACGAGAGCGAGTGAGAGGGCGATGGAGGGCACGAGCGGGAGATGGTGCATTGGTTGCATCTGGAGGCCAGTTCACTGTACCAAGGGTACCGGTACTGTAGGTCTGCCAAAGTGGGCAATCTGGACCAAATAGGGAGGGTGGCGCCTTGCTTCTGCTTTGGCAGTTCATTAGGTCTCCTAACCAAAGACCGCTTTTCTCCCCAAAGACAGAGCACCACCCAAAAGATCGATATTCTCCGTAAATCACTTGGCAAAAACATCGCCACCAAGTCATTCAGTGCGCATCGATAGACTTTGTAAACATCGTTGTGCACTGTAGTCAACCACACAACTGACAAATATTTACGAATTCACCTAACCACTACGTCATATACCATCAGGGTTGCGATCAGGAACGCCACAAGCCCTGAACTGAATATTCATGCGCCTTCTTCGCTTCTCGCGATATTTTTCTTGTACGAGTTTCCTCCTCCTTGCCTGGTTCTCAGCTAGCCTAAACCACCGCGTCCTTATTTGCGCATAAACCTGCCCATCCTCCTGCCGTAACGGATTCCACCTAATATGGAAATTGGTAAGCCCCAAGCACAATTTGAAAATTGGATCATACGATTTTTCGTTCCACTTCCACTTAGACCCCATCACATTCCAAATTCCACACAGCCTGCCAAAAAAATTTTCGACAATAATTCTGTCACTTGAAATAAGACGATTTTGCTTGACATCCGTAGGACGCATTACAGCATGCGGCGGCTTTTTAGTTGGATGAATTACACGGCAGAATTATAAAGCTCGTTGGTATCCCTTGTCACATAAGACAGCCCAGCTTTCCGGATATTTGCCCACATACGGCCCATCGTCATCCCACTCCTTCTCCTCCCCTTTCTTCTGCAGCTGCTTGTCGTCAAAATACTGCATCCTCTGAAAAAGAGTCAGATCGGAGACTGACCCGGGCTCATGCTCGCTACAGCCAATGGCCATTCCATTCGGAAGCACGGAGACTTCCATTTAATAGCCATATTGTTTATGCTTTCCACTATAGTACTTCTTGTCCTCCTGCATGCTACCACTTGGACGGTAGCTTGGCTGGAAAGTCACATCGGTAGCATACCGAGCCACAGGGAAATGCCTAAACAAACGCCCAACATCCGACACAGCCGTCATTGTCCACTTGGTCGCGTGATGCTCAACATATTGCTCGTAAACAGGTAGCCACAGCAGGTCTACGAATTTCATAATCAGTTTTTCAAAAGACGGACCCTTCAATCCGAACATTTTCGCAAGAAAATCCCACTGTCCTCCGTGTTTTACGACACAAAATGTCATAAAAAGTACGTCCTTGCCGCTTTGGATTGACTTCCTACCCCGTCCCGCGTTATAGCCCTGAGATATGACACCCTGAAATCCTGACCATATTCCCAAAAACTGTGTAGGGTCGAAGTTCGTCATCTCGAGTATAGCGGCAGAACCTCCCTGCTCGTAAAATCTATCGAAAATGGGCGCATCCGAGTCATCGTTTTCATCAGAGTCGAATGGATCGCTGTCATCATCGTACTGTCGAAGCTCGTTGCGTCGGTCCACGGCCGCATCTGCGAGCAATTGCAGTGCTGTAGCAGCTTGAGCTTGGCTGACATTTGTCATGGTTGGAACGAGAGGTGTGTCAGAGGGTGATGGAACGAAGGGTGTGAGGGGTTGAGAGAGGGAGCGAGAGTTCGGATCAAGGGGAAGGTCGAGGTTATCGTGAGATAAGAGGAAGTTGGATTAGGGGATTTGAGGGGAAGGACTGTCTGAGGACCTGGCCGCAGTCCCGATTTCAGTCTTATTCGCAATCATTGAGTGGTTTGGAAATAAGGCGGGCTTTTTTGTAATAGTTTACCCGCCTCGTTTCTGACTTGATCAGCACTGTACAGCCACGTATGTGGTCATGGTAGAATATTGTGACAAATTGTTGGCATTCTTGACTTTTACTGCTGTAATCTGCAATGAATTCGTTGTTTACAGAATCTGCGCTGTGTTCTGGCAATGTATTGGCTCTTTTAGCAGTACCCTTCTAACTGTGACAAAGGTCTATTGCATAGAGCCTGTTCACTGTGTCGAGGCTTCACTGTATCGAGCCTTTACTCTGGAAGTAAGAAATCCAATTGTGCCCGCCTTTTTGGATCGCATGGCTGGATCTTCGAGATCATCTTCCACGTCTTCTGTGGCGTCGTGAATGGCGACTGGCCTCTGTGGGCCTGATTCTGTCTGTACCCTTCGGTACAGTACCAAGGGTACTGTACGACTTGGTGTCCTGTACCCTTGAAGGGTACAGTACGACAATCTTCGTGTACGATAATCCTCGTGTACACCTGTATGACGAGTACAACGCCAAGCTCACAGAATAGCCCAAAAATCATTTAAACCTTTTTAATTAAGGAAAAATCGGGACTGTTCTGAAAATAATGCAGGATTTGGGAAAAAGGTTCTTTGATTAAGATGCTACCAAGGGTAAAGCTCCCTAGCTTGATATTTCCACTCCGGACTCTCAATTACACATGCTTTCCTTGAAATCGCTTTTCGGATTGTTGCCCTTTCTCGGCCTGGTAGGCGGTGGTACGCGTGTTACGATGAGATGGCACTTATCAAGCTCTTAGTTATCAGTTGTTTACTGCGTCCTTTCTAGATCTATTAACGTCATAAAGTTCATTGTAATCTTCACAATCAAACACGCGCGCAGCAGATGTGCATTGCAAAGCCTCATGTAGGCGACTCTAACGTCCATGTCACTGTCCGTTTCACAGACGAAAATTGCCTAGGTCCAAGTTTACTGTATTTGGCTTCTGCACGAAGAAAAGATACTTGAGATTGTAGTCCTCTGACTCTCTGTTTACTGAGTAGTGAGTCAACTTAAATGCTGGCACAACAGATCCTACAAAGCCTTGGCTAAACGCGAGACAGAGGCAAAGATGCTATCCTCTGCCCTGTTGGAGGTTAGTGGTCATATGTGACCACTAAAAAACATCGATTTTTAATCACTTTCAAGGAAAAGCCCCGTCCTGGTAAATGCTGAAGATTCAAATGCGAGTATTTCATTGTTCTGGCTGTATTTAAGTAACGAAATCAAGCTAGATGGATTCAGCACAGTCTAAATAGGATACAAGCGACTCGACCAATCATGACACAGATTTATGCCGGTGAGAGGGCCGTTCGAATATACTGTAAGCAGCCTGTGCACTTCTCTAGAACGTGTTCTTCTCTACATTGCGTTGTCATAATCTCCACAGTCCGAGCCATGAAGCAAGCTGCGACCATCTGACATTGTATGGAACTCGTAGAAGCAATTTGGCGTGGCGGCAATGCAAAGGAATGTTCGTTCTCCGCATCCAGTGTAGTATGTAAAGAATTTTTGCGATTGACCCCTAGAGCTACACATACCACAAGTGCATCGCTCTTTCGCACTTCCCACAGAGGCGGCGATATGTGGCACCGGATTGTCTAGCCTGGCGGTGCTCACTGTCAACTCTGAGCTTCTGCGACGCCGCTTCCTCGTTGTGGCTCGAGCAGAACCATTCACAATGGATTTTGAAGGGGTTGGAGGTTCTCCTGCGGACGGCATGGTGTTGCGTGTGTGGGACGGTCCACTGCTCATCAGAGAATGCCCAAGAGCAATGCGGAACTCCCGATGTCCCGATCGTTTTGATTGCCATTTACCCCGGTGCTTCGATGCCATTGCCCAGTAGGAATTCGACACTGATACATCGAGAATCCAGAATAGCACAGGCGGCCAGCTGCGTAGACCTTTGAGGTGCGTGCGATACGCGTTGTACAGTTGATCAGCTATGTCCACTGCGCCCATGTTCGTTTTGTAATCATTGATTCCAGTCGGAATAGGTATCCTCTTTGTCTTCCTGTTTCCAAATACTTCCCTCGACCTTGCTCCGGTGGTCGAAGTAATGCGCGGACCGCGTCTCAATTTCACAGTTCTATGTTCATCACCAACCTCGTGCGACGTGGTGAGCATGCGTACCGCTCTATTGTCAATCTACACCAAGCAAAGAACTTTTCTCACAACCACAGCGCCAATACTACCCCAATTCGCCCTTTTTCAGCAACGCCTCGGACCTTGATCTCTGCCGGAAAGCCCTTGGTACTGGCGCGCGTGGTACCACATGCACCAATGCTGCGCTCTCGGAGCATCTCGAATAAACCAACACTTGTGAAAAGGCTGTCCATGTAGATTTCGTAGCTAAGCAAGGACGGCCGAGCCGTGCCGGTGGCCCCCGTCTCCCTCGGCAGAGTGTCGACTAGCGCAGCAACGACTGCCGATTACAACATCAAAACTCCGCGGTACTTCTCCATGCCTTTCCAAGGGTGCGCATTTGAGTGTGGCAAGAAGTACAGAATATATCCACGATTGCAGATGGCCCAAAACTTGTATCTAGACTTGATGGGCTTGTTGCGCATCTCGACTGTCTCACCGCTGCGATTGAAACTCATGCACATCATCTCATCCACTGCCAGTTTTTGCCCTGGAT